CATTTTGCAGAAGGTCCAAATATAAAATCATTTGAACCAAATCCATAATACACTGCAATTTACTAATTCAATCAATCAAAAGATCTCTGACTATCAGTGGGATACCTTGATTTTATAAAACGAAATTATTTTGACTTTTCACTTCCAGAATCGAAAGAATAATTATCAAAAGAAATCCTAAGGTATTATATACAGCGTTGTACTTACTTCAGTATTTTCTGTGTTTATCTTATAAAAAGGCAGTTGTCTAATAATATCATAAAATTATTATCTTAATAATGTTCTTATAATACTCTAAATAATAGTACAATGTAAGGATAAACATTATATTCCCCTAAATCACTTTATAAGCTATTGGAATTTTTCAATCAATTGTCCCTAAACTATAACTATTTGCAATATCTTTTGATATTGTAAACTTATATCAAAGTAGATTAATTCCATAATGAAGTTTTTTCATTAATATAAAAATTAACATTTTATTGGCTTAAACTTAAGCATTCATAAGATATTCTTCACTATGATATCTTTATCCTTTTTATCAGGGATAACAAAAATTAAAAAGTTTCTTTAAAAAATTTTAAATGTATGTAAATATGAGGCATTTTGGAATAAAAAAACTAGGTTCTAAATTAGAAAAAGTGATAGCAGTCAAAACAAATCAAAATTTTGCGAGAATCAACAAATTATTAATTCATGAGAATTATTTAAAAAAAAATAATCTTCTTTCTTTTAGTCGGAAAAAAAAATGTTATTCTATATGAATCGAAATTAATTAGACGAAATTCATGAATTTATCAACTGCATTGATGAAATTCTTTAAGATGGATACTTTATTAATGAATCTAGATAATGTAAAGCATCTATTCTTTCTTATAATCTTTATGATAATTTATTTAGTTTTGATATATGCTTAGATGGATAAAAATGTCTTACTTATAAATTGAACTATTAAATTAATCCGAATAATTAATTAATCTAGTTGAATACTGTGAATAATAGAATTATTGTTATAAATTTGAATATGAGTCTTACTGTCATCATTTGACTTCTCTCAATCTCTATGAGTCTATTTTATATCTTATTTCATCCATCAAAGGATAAATTGGAGTATTTTTGATATTTATTCAGTGAAAATATAGTATTTGCTAGTTTTAATTTTTGCATTTTTTTAATAACCTCAGTACTTTGTATTCAATTAAAAATTAATTAGTGATTGATGGCTTTTTAATAATGGATGTTTCTTTTAAAAAGAATAACAAATAGCAGACTAGCAGGATCAATATTCGGACCACTAAATTAGCTCACTTCGGAGGTTAATCTTCTTAAACTCATTATACTTTTTTCTTTCCTTTCATTTGTTCTTCCTTGATGACTTTAAAGGACAAAGTAGTTTCTAATTATTCCAACATTACACCTATAAGTTTTGCCTTAAAACCAGTCTCATAGGTTTCACTTATCTAGTCCATCTATTCTCTCTATACACTTATCAACATAAAATTCTCATTTCCTCTCATAGGATGTATACTTCTTTTAACAATAGAGGAAGTACTGGAAAAAAAATCTTGGACTCTAACTTGAAAAACCACAACCTCATGTATATAGACTACCTGTAAATTAAAACTCCTTATGTCTTACTGAAGCCACTCGTATATCTCGGATAAACATTTTTTTATTATTATTAATAATTTAAGATTTTTATATTTAACTACCCTCCATCAAGTCCAAATTAGCATATTATTCTCCAAAAGATCCAGCTTTATTAAGCAATAAATTTTTAAATTCTTCTACTCTCTCAGATTTATCATATTTTATATGTATATCAGTTTAAACCCTACAGATTTTTAATATATAATTTTGATATAATTAGAATTTCTTAATTTATTTATTTTTTATATTATTTTTATTCATAATTCTATTATAATATTAAAAATAGATCTATATGTATTTAATTTACTTTTATTGTTGATAATGTCAAATTGGGGTAAGGACATCTTTTGTGATTGGAACTCAAAATAAAAGAAATGGAAACTCAAAGAACAGACCAAGATTTTATTATTGTCGACTTACTTAAAATGACCTCTGAACATAAAGCGGACCTTATCCCCATATATTTTCAACAACCCAAATTCGTCTTATGGTATGAGGAATTAAAAAATAACATTTTAGACATGGAAAGATCCAGTAAAAAGAAATTTCAGAAATTCATATAAAAGCATCTTAGGTAAAAAAAGATAAGGAAGGAGACATAATCAACATTTTGCTTCATGGAGAAGAGTACATTACAGATTACAAATAAATTACATTTTTGTATCGAGAAACTTAAACCAATTTAAACTGAACTAACAGAAGAAGATAATAAAAAATAATTAATATTTTAATCTTAAAGGATTAATAAGATTTAGAAAGATGTATAGCATAAGATTTGGAAATGAAATCTAAGGTAAAATCCTTTTATTTTTATCAACTTATGCTCTCTATAAATCTGATTCATAAAAATAATTATATAAATTTACAAAATTGGTATATTGGATTAAAAAGAATCGAGAGGCATTATTATTTTTTTAATAATTTATAAAATAATATTATTATTAGTCCAATATATTGAATATTAAATAAAGCTTGATTTTATCATATTATGCTTTTTTATAATAAAAAAACTTCCATATATTATGATTTTGAAAGTAACTATTCTAATTGTTAAAATATATAGACTGATTATCTATTTCTAGAGAATCAAAAGGTTTGATTTAAAACGAATTCTTTTTTCTTTAATTAAATAATTCTACTTTTTTTATAATTAATGTTAAATGATTAATCAGAAAACCAAAAATATCTAATTTCTCAAATGTATAAATTTTTCATAATTCCTTCTCAATTTCATTTTAAGAATAATATTTTAAGTGAAATTTAAAACCTATTTTATTTGTTCATTTACACATATTGTTTTATTAAAATTAAGAACTTATCTAAATTAAAAACTGGAAATTTGAATTGATTTGGTTGATTTTGAATATGTAATTGAGAGACTTTATTGGATCTTCTAATTTAAATGATTTTATCAAAAAATTTAATCAGACATTATATGTTATGATCTAAGTTTTATAGAAAACTATTGTAAGTTTTAAAAATAATATAAGTTTCTGATTTTTAATTGTTTTTTTTAAGGTAGTAATTGGACTTGATTAAAAGTAGACCTTGTTTATAAAGGGCAGCCAAATGAATTTACTTTTAATTCAAAAAAATCTCTTCAGAAAAATATTTTGCAGCTTGACTTAAATAATTTGATTATAGATATATATTTCTATTTTTATTTTATGAGATAACTTCTTAAAGATATGGCAATATTGAAAAAGATAAAAATGAGGAAGAAAAATAGTATCAAATCATTATATCAAATATTTTGTATAAAAGGCTTTCTTTTCTTAAGATCTAATGATGAATACTTTAAAAAATATTAATAATTATTATTATTCATAAATTTAATATAATAGAATTAAGAAACTAAAAAATGCTATATTATATTATGCTTTAAAAGAATTATATTTTATAAAAAGTTATTTCTATTAAAATGATTCAAGAAGATTTAGAGCATAAAGAGATGCTCAAATTAATATAAATTAAGGTAAAAAGCTCTGCCTAAGCCTAATGGATATAGAGAATCCTCCCTTTAAAACAGAAATTAGCTTTTATTTATTATGACAATGGATTTTATGAATTGTACAATATCAAATAACAAGTAATTACTTAAAAAGGATAGATTTCATAGGGCATAAGATTTTTCCTTGAAATTTACACAAAGTAATATTTTTAAATATTTAATAGTGTTTTGATATTTCATGATCCCACAGATTCTTAGATGAAATTATTAGACTTGAATATGAATTGAATTAATCATAAATTTGTGTTTAAATCAAGGGACTAAATAGACATTATGAATAATGTCGAAACTAGAGAAAGGTTTTTGGATTGTAATATATCATTTGTTATTTAGAATTTGTAGTTTTCTTTCTTGATTGTGAGAAGAATTAAATTAAATATTTGATATCATAAGATATAGAAAAGCACTAATCAAAGAATAATGTCTGTCATTTCACCATAAGAGTATTACCTCTAAAATATGATTCTTAAACAAATTTTGAATTAACACCTGTTGTCAAATTTGACTATGATAATATATTTTCATAAGAGTAGTTATACAACTGGTAAGTAGATAAAGAAACTATAGCAGTATTTGGATAGGATTATGATTATGATTAGTGTAAATCTGAAATTCTTCTTATTAAACCTCATTTAATGGATTAGGCATTCTATATCATTCATACTTAATTTTAATGTTCATACACAACAATAAATGTAACAAATTGGATTAACCCTAACTAAATTGCTATTTGGGTAAATTGTAATGATGGGTCAACAAGACCAAGCATTTTTGTTTTGATTTAAGTAAATATTATAATGGATAAAACTGGTTACCTGAACCTTAATTTATAGCAACTTTGGTAATCATTTAAACTTAAAAATCACTAGGTTAGAGATTAATATATTGCTAATGAACCATCAGTTTTCATGGATATTTATCAATTTCATTTAGGATCTACTTAAGTAATTCAAATGAGACAATTGAATATTAATCCAAAATATCTGTCATCAATTATAACAATATTTAAGAACCATAAATTATTCAGGAATTTAACAGTGATCAATTTTGGATTACAACTGATGTTGATCATTCTTACATTCTTCTTAGAAATGATTAATCAATGTATGCAATAATTTTAGTATTCTTAGTACTCAAGATTAAACACTCACATTTTAAATTATAATCCCTTTTGATGAAGGATTATTATTGTTAAAAATTATTGAAGAAGCAAAAATAATTGAAAAATATGATATTCATATAGTTGAGTAACTATTTGAATTCTATTATTGAAAATTATATTAAAAATATAAAAAGATCATTATCAAAATTTTCATAAATTAAAATTATTTTAAATCAAAACATTTAACAAGTCTAAATTATTGATTATA